TCCCCTTCAGCTTTTATCTAGAGATGACTTTTTATGTGAATGCTGTAACATGTAGCTGTTAGACTTTTAAATGAGATTTATTAGAGCTGCTTCTCTGGTCTTTCTCTGCAATCAGAGGAGTTGTGTTCACATGTGTAAACTCCTGAAATAAATATATCTGACATAAACTCTAAACAATTATAAAAATGTAAATATTTAGCCAATGAAAATGATCAATATCTAACTTAAGAGTTTATAAAACCTGAAAATGTCTAAAACCTTTGGAATACACAGAATTATATGCACTTTGGAACAAAAACTTTAAATGCTGCTTTTTCCTATGCAGGAGATAAAAGTAATACAGTTACTGAGCTTAATTTTGTGCCACAGAGAAACTTTTTCCTACAGTCACATTAATGTACTAAAAGCAGCAGATGTATATGATTTATGTTGAGGCTGGATTAAATTTAAGCTCTGCACAGATTCACACACATTTCTGGCATTCTGTTCATTTTGGTAAAGATACAAGCTGCTGCCATTGTGATTATGATCAAATGTCTGAACTGGATCAATATAAACAGTCAAGTTCTGGAAAGGTTCTTCAGTTGATAAAGAATTTCTTATGTGAACTAAAAAAAAAGGTCAAACTGGAACCAAAAATGACACAGATGTTTTAAATGAGGTCTGAATAGTTTTACTGGGGGCTTCTGCCCAGGTTGTGTTCATATCCAACACCACTTATGTGGGATCCGCACCCTAAACCGGTCCAGAACCCAGAATAAACTCAGATTTTATCTCGGATAATCAAACTTACAGTGTAAACATGTTTTTCACGTTTCTGTTTTTTTTAAAACCTCCCCTCATGTGTGATGTATTACAGCATTTGTCACATAGACGTGGTTTCTGTGGTTACCCTTCGACAGGTCATATGACCCTGATGAGCTGCATGTTGACGTCTGAGATGAATCCTTCAAACACACAGTCCTCGAGGACCTCAGGTGTTCTGGTTCTCAACAATGGGGGATTGTGTGTCGGCGGTGGTTCTGAGTCAAATACTGGTCCTGAGGTTTCAGTTTGATGTCAGATCGAGTGTCAGGGATCCATTAAACAACAGAGGCTGAGAACAACTTTCCAATATAGTGGAGCAGAACCAGCTGAAGGCTCAGGTTAAAGTTAAATTACCCTGTAGTCCTAAAACCTCACTTTAGTATAACACTGTCTTAACAGAACCTCTGATGCAAATTGTATTACAGAGTTTTTCCAGTTTTTATCCCAGGAAATCAAAAGTTTCATCACTGGTCTAAAATTAAAACTGAAACTAAATGCGGAGGTTTAAGCATCATTTTGATTGTTGGTTTGTGTGAGACAGATTCTTCCTTCCTTCCTCTGGGACAGCACTGATCAGCTGGCAGAAATAACCAATGCTACTGGTTAAAAACTAAACCCAGACTGGTCCACATATTCTCTCAGACCTAAGCAGATGTTGTTCTCTCTGAATACTGGTCCAAGGTTTTAACCTGCAGGATCTGGAGATATTAGCTAGGAATTGGATTATGTCACTGCTAGGCAGTGATGAGACATCAGCCAGTTCCCTATGAGTTTTTGCTGTCCTGGAGTGAATCAGAAGAACAAAAATAAGTTGTTCTCTTTAAGATGAACTAAAAATAGAGGGGAAAAAAGAAGTAAAGACCAGCAGCTGTCCTGACGGTGACTGTTTGTGTCCACCTGAATGCTAAGACCCCTGACAAATGCTGACCGACCTGCTCCTGGGTGGGGTTTAACTAAAGTTATATACCGGTACAAATGAAATGCTCTTACAGCAGATTTAGCAAATTTCTCAGTCAACTATTGCAGCATATAATGCAAACAAAGTGGCTCTGATCTGACAGAAGGTACCAAACCTCCTCAACCTCTTATAAATTAGGGCATTAGCAAAACTCCTTCATATACCAATAAACTGACAGAAGGTTGGTACCAAAAGTCTTGTAGTAGACTGCTCTTTGCCATGCCTGAACAGCTTTAGACAAGAAATCCAAACTACATCTCCAAAAAAGTCCAAATACAACAAACAGGTCCCTAGTTCTGTCCTCATGTCTGTCAATTCAGTTTGTTTATATAGTGCCAATTCACAACACATCATCTAATGGCACTTTGCTGAGACAATTCAAACAGATCATAGAGTCATACTGGTTCAGAGCTTTCTATCTAAGGAAAACGTGCATTGATTGCATCGACCCATTGACCCTCACACCATATATATTCATCAACTATAGGATACCTGTCCGTATAGTTCACTGGAAAAAGGATCTAAAAATAAGTAGTTGTCTTAAATTAAGTGTATTACGCTTAATTTGAGAAGGTAAATGAGATAGTTTGCCAATGGAATGAGTATTTTGCTCTTAAAATAAGAAAATTAGATAAAATGCACCTGAAAAAGACAATGCGATTGTGTTTTCTGATTGTGTCAACTGTCTTGTTCCATTGGCAAAATCTCTCTTTTACCTACTAAATCCAAGAACAAATACACTTATTTTAAGAAACAACTTTTCTAGATTTCGATTTTTTTCCAGTGTTCATCCACTGATCTGTCATGAGACATTCCCTTAAGCCATATTCAGAACTATCTGAAGGTCCACCTGTTGACCTGTCCACAGGTCCATCCTCTTCACAGATTCACTGCATGATCTATTCTTATTCGTAATTAGTAATAAGTTATTCGTAAGACCTAAATCAGATCTACCTGAGGATATAGATGAACTGATACACTCTTACCCACTCTTGCTTGTTAATAAACCTGATACCACTGACATTGGACTGATACCACTTCTATGTTTGTTGTAGATCACAGTATCAAAACAAAGAGGTCGACCATAGCTGTCAAGACGTGCTTCCCTAATGTGGACAAAAGTCCCCTCTACTGTTTCTCGGCTGATTTAAAACCTGAAGTAAAGCCTGGTAATCAATATTCTTCAATATGGCTATGCTTTTATTTAGCATTCTTGTTGGTACTTTGTGTTGACAAGTAGTAAACAGTAAGCACTTGTACTCAGTCCTAGGGGAGTGTTGGCCTCAGGGGCGGATTTAGGAAATTTGGGCTCCTAGGCAAAGACAGGCAGGGGGCCCTCTGATTTGAGAAGACAACACAGAAAACAGACCCATTATACATTATTTGTTCTACGTTTCATCCCTCTTATTTCAGGAATGAAAGATTTTTTTCCAGTCACTAAGCTCACTTAGCTGATTGCTCCTTCTTGTGTTTCCAAAAAGGTGACAGCAAAAGTAAATAACCCAGTCCTTCTTTTCACTGTAGACAAACCATGATCTGCTTATCTGTTCTCCATTTTTCATTTTTATGAAATAATAGCTGCATGAATCATGACAACAGACAAGATAGAGGAGAGCAGGATGCGGGGTTACCAATCTACTTGCTCTGGAGAGCAGAGTTGGGTGCCTTTATATGTTGTCGTCAAAGTCTCCAGTAGAAGAAAAAAGTTGCTAGATTTGGCACTAGGTCCTTTTTTGAAATAAAAACAGTAGAGGGGTCTGAAAAGTCACTAAGTATAGTGACAAAAGTGCTAAGTTGGCAACACTGCTGTTTTCATTGTTTGTTTTCAAATGGTTTGCTGCTGTCTGTTTGGACCTTTCTGAACATGTGCAGCTAATGGACTGATCCAATGTGATGGGGGGGCTTAATATTATAAGCATTTTAATGGTATTTTAGTGAAAGGATTTTTTATGAAAAATATTATTGATGTGTACAAATCAGGAATAGTTGTATTAATTATACATATAAACAGAGTTTTGTGGGACCCCCAGGAACTTGGGGCCCTAGATATCTGCCTAGTGTTGCCTAATGGTAAACCCCCCTCTGGTTGGTCTAGTGGTTAGAGCAGTGTGCTTGTGCTCTGAGAAGGTTGCAAGTACCTGATTCGATCCCCACAGCCTGCACTCTGGGTTCCTGAGCAAAACCCTTAACCTCTGATTGCTGAGAACCAATTTCCCTGTTGTGGGACAATACAGGGATTTACATTTCATATTTAGTTTGAAGACATATTTTATTGGCCCATCCCTCTCTAAAGGTCCACCTGATGATCTGTCCATAGGTCATGCCCCAGGTGTCTACATGTCCACTGCATTGTCTGTCCTCAGGTGTCTAAAAATCAAACCAGGTCCTTCTTCAGTCCTATTCTCAAAGATAACCTTTGTTATCTTTCAGAATTTTTCCCTTTAATTGTTCATAATTTTTTGTTAATCTTTTCATCTATTGTTGGTCAAGACATTGTGGTCTATAATTAGAATTATTGCTTCAGCTGTAGTTCTGGTTTCCTGTCCTCAGACTGATCTCAGGTCAGTTCTGTCTTCATTCCTTGTTTTGGTCGTCCTTCCTGTCCCCAGACAGCAGGCGTGTCGTCTTATCTTTGGTCATAAATAAGCCCGTTTGTTCCTCTCAGAGTCTAAACCGGGCCGAAGAACCTCACGGTGAGTTCTTCTTTCTTTATGTCTCCATGTGACGCTGATTCAGAGAAAAACCTCTGCAGAAAACACAATTCAGAAACATTTTGACTACTAATATTTAACTTTATAAGCAAGAAAATGTTGGGATTTCTGATTAGATTTGATTGTAATATTTCTGTTTAACCTGAAAACTCAGAAATATCTGATTTTTTTTTTAGCCTTTTTATAAAATACCTTGGGGATGAAACCTGAAATTTGGCAACAAATTTTCAAATAAGGGTATAATCAGTTTTTTTTATTGTTTATTCCTGATTTCAAACTTTTTTAAATCTGAGAACAAGAAGACTGACTTTAAAAAAAGAAGAATATGTTTCAAATTTGCTGCTGGTTTAAAGTGTGTCCCCTGTCATTGGCTGCTTAGTTGTGACATCACAACAAACATCTCCTTTTCTTTGGGATTTTTTTCCTCGTTCATGGAATGTTGGGAATCTGCTAACTTATTCTTTAGAGCCATATATATATTTTAATCCACCAGCTTTGAATCTTTTCCCCCCCTTTGCTAACAGATGTGTGTGTCAAGGTGTCTACAATGTGTGGGCTTATCCCTCATTCCTATGGCGATCATCTGCATGCTGTCCAATATTCTGCTGCTGCTTCCTGAACTCAAGCCCCACTTCCTTTTGGAAGGTCATGTTACCAGAGAAGCTACCTGGGCTACGGGTCTGTGGGGCTCAGGCTTTCTGGTGAGATCTTCTGGGTCATGTGTGAGTTTGGGATGTTTTCACAGTGGCCATGTTGGATCTCACAGCTGTTTGGTTTCAGGTTTTACTCGGAGCACGGGCCTTCATCCAGAGCAGCAAGACTAGAGGCTGCTGCGCCTTCAGGAGTCAGGTGAGCCCTGCAGCCTCCACCTGTACAGGAACTGTTAAACCATGAAGGAACACATGATGTCACATCTGCCCGGTCATACAGATGGTCTTTTTCCTATTCTCCTTGTTGGAGCCTGAATTTATACTTTGCATTTTTCTTGTTTTTGCATTATAGTTAATGTTTTATGTTTTGTTTTTTTGTTTTTTTGCTAAATATACTTTTCTTGAAATTATGAAATATTATTGGTAATTCATATTAATTTGGGGAATTTGTATATTTAGCTACTGTGGTTATTTTGTTATTATTTTCATTGCTTCTTTGCAGAGGGTAACAAGTAACGAAGTACAAATACTTTGTTACTGTACTTAAGTACACTTTTTAGGTATCTATACTTTACTCCATTACTTATTTTTCTTCCTACTTCTGACTTCTACTCATTACATTTTCACACAACTATCTGTACTTTCTGTTCTTTGCATTTTTAAAACAAGCGTTACTCATTACTCTTGGCTTCGGTTTTATGTTTATTATAAATATTTATTAAACTAGTGTGATTGGATGAGTTAAATAACGCAATCACTCATTGGTTAGCTGAAGGAAATAATCAGAAGCAAGCAGGTGTTCTTCAAACTGCAAACGTGAATTGTCTATGCCATGCTACAATGTAGGAAAAAGATGTTGAAATGTCTGAA